AGGCGGGTTGGGGCGGGTGGTGTGATCACTGCCCTGGCCGGCCGCAGGAGAGGCCACCTGGCCCGGCAGCGACGTTTCACCCCAGGTCTACTTTCGAGGGCACAGTGACAGTCAGATCGTGGCCAGCCGCCCCCATCCGGGCCTGCCTGCTGGGAAGCTCAGAGCTGTGGGGTCAGGGGCAAGGCCTACTCCCCCACTCCCAGCACCCTCACACATGTTCCCAGGAAGCTCACCTGTCCATCTGGGACATCGGGCCTAGGCAGGACACAGAATCAGGGAGAAGAGAGGACCTGCCTCTGAGGTGGCCCCGGGACAGCCCAATGGGAGAGGCGGCAGCCGCAGCCTCCCGACCCAGGGGTGGTGCAGAGGCCAGTCTACCCTGCCTGCAGCCTTCCAACGCTGGGGAGGGGGGGCTGGCAGGGCGAGGGTGTGTGGGCCTCACAGGGGGGTCAGGGGCCATGGGGTGCTGTGCTGCAGGAGAGGCGCGATGGGCCACGCTGGGGACTGCCTCCCCGTGCTTTGGCAGCGAGAGCCCCTCGGGAGTCTCTGTGGGAGCCGGGGCCACAGGACATAAGTGTCCTCCAGGGACAGAGGCTGAGAACAAGCGGGCCACGGCGGGGGCGGGGTGGGCAAGGGCCATCTCCCACCGCTGCAGAGCCCTCACCAGCCTGGCGCTTCCGCCCCCAGGAACTTCCGCAAACACCTGCGCATGGTCGGCAGCCGGCGGGTGAAGGCCCAGAGTAAGAGTCGGGCGCGGGGCAGTGGGCCGCGCTGCGCTTGGCGGCTGGGGCTTTGTGCACTGCTCGCTGTGCGCTGCAAGACCTGGGTCCCTGGACCCCACACTGCCCAGTTGGCGTCCCAGACCCCACCCCCAGGCACCGGCAGCTACTTGCTGGGCTGCGGACCCAGGCTCCACCCCATTCTGCCCCTCCTGGGCCTCACCTCATTTCTGCTCCTGGGGGCTGTGCCTCGGGTTCCGCCCAAGCCCTGCCCCCCTAGGCAACGCCCCCAGCTTTTTCCAGGCTCCCCTGGCGCCGTCACCTGGACCGTTCTACCAGGCCCGCCCTCCCCTAGCCCTCGGTCACGCATCCCGCCCCGAACCTATGCCTTCAATGCCTGCCTACCAGGTGTCAGGCCCCGCTGCTGTTGGCGCTCACCCGAGCCTTGTCCCCTCCCCAGGCCACACCCCCTCTGGCGCAGGGCCAAGATACGCCCACTGGCTGATGCGAGTTTTGCTCTCCGCAGCGTTCGCTGAGCGGCGCGAGCGGAGCTTCAGCCGGTCCTGGAGCGACCCCACCCCCATGAAAGCCGACACTTCCCACGACTCCCGAGACAGTAGGTCCCCCGGCAGAGTCCAGCCCACCTTCCCAGAGGACCCCCTTAGGTCCCCAGCCCCTTGCCAGGCTTCTGCGCTTTTGCTGCCGGAGCCTCAGTCTGCTGCCCGCGAGGTGAGCGCCAAGGAGGCGTGTATAGGAGCTCGCAGCCACTCTGGGCCCCTGGCCCTGCACGCTGTTCTCGCCAGGCCCGCACTCAGGCCCCCCAGGAGCCCAGTCCTGCCGGGCGGTGACCTTGGCACAGCCCCTCCTGCCAGCCCAGAGCACTTCCAGGGCACAGTTCGAGGGCTGGGGGCGGTGGCTACCTCCTGACCCCTCCTGCCTCCCAGGCAGCGACCTGCAAAGCTCACACTGCACGCTGGACGGGGCCTTCGAGGATTTGGACTGGGACGCTGAGAAGAGTCTGGAGGCTGTGGCCTGTGACTTCGAGGGCTTTGTGCCCCCCAAGGTCATGGTGAGGCCCTGGGGCATGCACCACCTTGGAGCCCTGGTCTAACCTGTGACCCACTGTCTCTGCTGGGACCACCTGCACCCTGGGTGGCCTGGAGTGGGGGTTGGCTCTGATGGGGCCTGGGGCTTCCCCTGAGGCCTGCAGGAGGAGGCCCTGGCTGGGCCTGGCTGCTAAGCCGTGCCCTCTCCTGCAGCTCATCTCCTCCAAGGTGCCGAAGGCCGAGTACATCCCCACCATCATCCGCAGGGATGACCCGTCCATCATCCCCATCCTCTATGTGAGTGCTCGGGCCTGTCTGTGCAGGTCGCACGGCCACCCACACAGCCAGTCCCTACGCCCCCGCGGGTGCTGGCTGGGAGGGCTCTGATGCCACCTGTCTGTCCCCAGGACCACGAGCACGCGACCTTCGAGGACATCCTGGGTATGAACCCTGCTGATACTGTAGGAGCCCTGGGGCAGCCAGGGGAGGGGAGGGGTGGGGGGGGGTCTGCCAGTGGGCCGCGCTGCGCTTGGCGGCTGGGGCTTTGTGCACTGCTCGCTGTGCGCTGCAAGACCTGGGTCCCTGGACCCCACACTGCCCAGTTGGCGTCCCAGACCCCACCCCCAGGCACCGGCAGCTACTTGCTGGGCTGCGGACCCAGGCTCCACCCCATTCTGCCCCTCCTGGGCCTCACCTCATTTCTGCTCCTGGGGGCTGTGCCTCGGGTTCCGCCCAAGCCCTGCCCCCCTAGGCAACGCCCCCAGCTTTTTCCAGGCTCCCCTGGCGCCGTCACCTGGACCGTTCTACCAGGCCCGCCCTCCCCTAGCCCTCGGTCACGCATCCCGCCCCGAACCTATGCCTTCAATGCCTGCCTACCAGGTGTCAGGCCCCGCTGCTGTTGGCGCTCACCCGAGCCTTGTCCCCTCCCCAGGCCACACCCCCTCTGGCGCAGGGCCAAGATACGCCCACTGGCTGATGCGAGTTTTGCTCTCCGCAGCGTTCGCTGAGCGGCGCGAGCGGAGCTTCAGCCGGTCCTGGAGCGACCCCACCCCCATGAAAGCCGACACTTCCCACGCCTCCCAGTAGGTCCCCCGGCAGAGTCCAGCCCACCTTCCCAGAGGACCCCCTTAGGTCCCCAGCCCCTTGCCAGGCTTCTGCGCTTTTGCTGCCGGAGCCTCAGTCTGCTGCCCGCGAGGTGAGCGCCAAGGAGGCGTGTATAGGAGCTCGCAGCCACTCTGGGCCCCTGGCCCTGCACGCTGTTCTCGCCAGGCCCGCACTCAGGCCCCCCAGGAGCCCAGTCCTGCCGGGCGGTGACCTTGGCACAGCCCCTCCTGCCAGCCCAGAGCACTTCCAGGGCACAGTTCGAGGGCTGGGGGCGGTGGCTACCTCCTGACCCCTCCTGCCTCCCAGGCAGCGACCTGCAAAGCTCACACTGCACGCTGGACGGGGCCTTCGAGGATTTGGACTGGGACGCTGAGAAGAGTCTGGAGGCTGTGGCCTGTGACTTCGAGGGCTTTGTGCCCCCCAAGGTCATGGTGAGGCCCTGGGGCATGCACCACCTTGGAGCCCTGGTCTAACCTGTGACCCACTGTCTCTGCTGGGACCACCTGCACCCTGGGTGGCCTGGAGTGGGGGTTGGCTCTGATGGGGCCTGGGGCTTCCCCTGAGGCCTGCAGGAGGAGGCCCTGGCTGGGCCTGGCTGCTAAGCCGTGCCCTCTCCTGCAGCTCATCTCCTCCAAGGTGCCGAAGGCCGAGTACATCCCCACCATCATCCGCAGGGATGACCCGTCCATCATCCCCATCCTCTATGTGAGTGCTCGGGCCTGTCTGTGCAGGTCGCACGGCCACCCACACAGCCAGTCCCTACGCCCCCGCGGGTGCTGGCTGGGAGGGCTCTGATGCCACCTGTCTGTCCCCAGGACCACGAGCACGCGACCTTCGAGGACATCCTGGGTATGAACCCTGCTGATACTGTAGGAGCCCTGGGGCAGCCAGGGGAGGGGAGGGGTGGGGGGGGGTCTGC